TGACCTACGGAGCCCTACATACGGAACGAGGCCCCTATTCCCATAAGTTAAGCTTCGATGTCCCATGGGAAGCCTCAGGAAAACCTGAGGCAATCTGTCAAACGATCCCGGAGCACCGAGCCACTGCCCAACGAAGAGGGTCCCTTCTTTCGCGCCCCGACTGTACAGGCGGAGGTTGGGCGAACTTGAAGAGTGGGCCAACCATGTTCAAGAATAGTCCACCATTTTTCTGAAAAAAGAAATCGTGCCCATATCATTGTTGGACTATCTTTTGACTAATCCTCCTGTAGATCGGGAGCGGCCAAGAGGGGGGTGTCCAAGAAGGGGGGTGCAAATCATGACCGGCGGTATGTGCGCGGCCCCGGGGGGGGGCCAGGGACGTAATGAAATAAGAAGAGGCGCCATGAACTCTGGGGAAATATCATGGCCCACGCCATGATATCCACCCCCCCCCTTGTCTTCACCCCCACTTTGCCGCCCCCGAGTCGAGGGACAGGCCCGACTTCAGGCCAGCGTGGGCAGCGGTGGCCGCGGACCAAGAGGCGTGGCCGCGCAGCGCCCCGCAGGGAGCAGGCCCGCAGGGAGCGCGGAGGCGGGGAGTGCCAGGCGGGGGGCGCCTGCGCTGGCGACGGGATGCCCATAACGCGGATGCCGTGGGAGCGACTGGTGTGAAGAGGCCCTGGAACACACAAATAAATACACACAAATAACAGGATCCGTCATGTTTTCATACATCTTCTGGGCTTTTTGTCTTCCCCCCCACTTCCCATAGTTTCCCAGATTTTCTTGGGAATCGGCGATTCATTGTGTCTGTGTGTTTTTTCCCTCCTGAAAAACGGGGATGCCGTTGGAGCGACTGGTGTTAGGTCGGGCCTGTCCCCCTACAGGGGGATTGTCGACGGAGAAACAATACCCCCAAAATACCCCCAAATTGTCAAAACATACTCAAAACATAGTCCCCAGACTATTGTTGGACCATGTTTGGACTATGTTGGGGGTATTTGTTACTTCTCGTCGAAACTCCCCCTGTGGGGGGACCGGCCCGACTTAGGACTGGCGCCGCGATGCGAGAGGAGGAGCGGGGGGGAGGGCGCGGCCGACGGAGGCCGCGGAGCAGACGAACGTGCCCGACGCGGCCGCCCGACTGGCGCGGGCCAGCGGTCGAGCGAACCATCGCCGGAGCCGAGGGTGCGGCAGGCGCAGAGGGAGAAGCAGCGCCCCATGAAGTACGTCGGGCGTGTCCCCCGACAGGGGGGCTTTCGCTGAAAAATTGGGAATGCCCCAACAATACCCCAAAAAGGTCAAAGCATGCTCAAAAAATAGTCCCCAGGCTATGTTTGGACTATTTTTTGATTATTTTTTGGAATAGTTTATTTTTCGTCGAAAATCCCCCTGTAGGGGGACACGCCCGACTTCAGCCATGAGCACAAACTGTTGGCGCTCCGCGCGGATGTCTTAGATCTGCGCTGTGAGAAGGGGGAATGTAGGGTGAGGATGCTGGCGAGAACGAGTGTAATTAAGGGGTGGGGGGACTGAAGAGGGGGAATGAGGATGGGGGAAGAGAGAAAGAGGGATGACAAGTAAAAGTTGGAGACGGGAGAGGAGCAGATAGGATCGGACGGACGGCGAATGGGGGGAAAGGCGAGGAAGCAGCAATAGGAGAAATATGACCACGCGGAGGAGTGGCATGAGAACGACGACGACGAGCATAACCACAAGGGGCATGAAAATGTCTGATTACCCTGGGTGAAGGAGATTGGGGGAAGCGGGGCGATGGAGAGGAGGATTACGAGGACAAAGACAAGGATTCGATCGGAACAGACTCGATGAGTTCTGGCGCCTGCTGGACACCTCGCGAGCGAATGGGCCGAAACATCACCGCGTCGGAATTCCGAGGGGCGAAAGAAAATGAGAAGGAAGGACGGAAAGCATCAGGGGGAACCGGAGCAGAATCAGGAGGCTGAGTGGGGCGCGGAGGAGAGGGGGGGCGGATGACGAGGATGACGGAGGCGGCGATGTGAGGAGGGAGGGACGAGCGGAGGGAGGCGGAGACCGGCCGCGAGGAAGGGAAGGGCAGGGGAGAGACGTTCGACCGGAGGGGCGGGCGGTCAGCCGACGGCGGCGCGCCCGAGCGCGTCCGCGCAGGTCTGCTCGGCCGGGGCCTGGCTCAGCAGCCCGCCCCCCGGCAGGACGGCGTCGGCCGCAGAAGCCGTGGAGCCCGGCAGGCGCGAGAGGCGGCCGGCCCGCAGCCGGGTGCGCACGTCCGCCAGGCGATCGGCGGGCGCCGCCCGGACTCTGTCGAACTCCTGCGCACGGTTGCGGCCGATCCCAATCCCCACGGGCGAGGCCTATATCGGGGATGGACAGAACCCCCTTTAGCAAAACGTGGTTTAGTGAAAACGACCTGAGGCCCAAATCTGGCGGGCGAAAGCCTGGAAACTGACGGCCACGGCGCCCTCTCGAGAACCGAAAACGGACAAGTCACGAATCGACGTGTCACTGTTGGGGGTTCTGTCCAGCCCCGACTATAGGCCCACTGGCCGACTCGCCCACCGAGGCTGGGAGGTATGTGTGAGCCGGAGTCGAGGGCTGACACGGGCCCCCGCCCCCCCGATGGGAGGGGCCCCAGGGCTCCACAGACCCCCCCCCCCCCAGATGAGATGGGGGGGGCACGACGCCGACGCCGACGCCGACGCCGACGCCGATGCCGACGCCACCCACGCCGACGCTGACGCCCACGGAAGACGACGACGAGAAACGACGACGACGACGACGACGACGACGACGACGACGACGACGACGACGACGACGACGACGACGACGACGACGACGACGACGACGACGTCCACCCTCCACTACGTCACGCCCACAGGGCCACGCCCAAGGGGTGGGGGGGTGGGCGATCCTAGTTGCGAGGCCTTCGCGAGGCTCACGAGCGTACCCATCCCAACGGGGGGAGGCCGATCCCATTAGCCTTGGAGGCTTTGGGCGGAGCCCTGGATCATACATGATCCTGGGTCGAGTGTTCACAATCCCCCCAGATGGGATGGGTCCCAAGGCTGCACAGCCCCCGCGCCCCCCAGATGCGATGGGGGGGACAACGACGACGACGACAAAGACGACAACGCCGACGCCGACGCAGACGCCGACGCCAACGCAGACGGAAGACGACGACGCCGACCCTGACGCCGACTGATGACTTCGACGACGGCGGCAACGACGACACCCACAGGGGGAGGGGGGGCACCGGCACCCACCACCACGGGCTCACCACCACAATGGGGAAATGATCCCATTCGCGAGGCTCTTCGACCTTGGTCTCGGAAAGGTCTCGGCGAAAGCAGCGGAACGTCCACCCTCCACCACGTCACGCCCACAGCCCCACCACCACAGGGGGGCGAGCGATCCCTTCGAGAGGCTCACGGGCGTAATCACCCATCCGCCGGGACGGGGGGCGCGATCCCATTAGCAGTCAGGGGGGAAGCCCTGGATCATTGCTGCCTGCTCCTTCGGGCTTCGCGGGGCCTATCTCCACCTAGGAGCGTGGGATGGTGGGGCTGAGGTTCGAGTCGGGCGAAAGGGGGGGATAGCAAAGGGGGGTTTGAGAATCAGCTCACGCAGTTGATTTTCCCGGCGCCTCCCGGCGCCGGAGGCGGCTTTGTATCGAGGAATGGGCCACTCGGTGAGGCCGAAACCAGCTGCATGCAGCAAATCTCGTAACCCCCCCTTTCCCAATCCCCCCCTTTCGTCCGGCCCGAGAGGTACCATTGCCGAGTGGGGATGCGGATGGGTTCGCCGATGCTGATCCTCCCCGCCCAGAGTCAGGAACAGCACCGCCTCCCCGTCGAAAGAGGCCTGCAGGAGCAGCGCCGGCCGCTCGCTCGACGGCGAGGCGCACGCCGTGTACCGGAGGCGGGCGGGCTGCCACGGCAGCCAGTCTCCCCACTGGGTCCGAAGGGAGGGCACGCGGCACTGTCCATGGCAGTTCGTGCCGCAGGCCATCGCAGCCCCGTCGCTTCTCAATAACACGGTGTGCAGGGGGCCCGCGGTGACCTGGGTGATAGCCAGGCCCCCTCCCAGCGCATGGACGTCGCACTGCCCCGAGTCATTATAGCCGCAGGCCACAGCAGTCCCGTCGCTCCGCAGCAGCACGGTGTGAGCGCCACCAGCAGCGACCTGCGTGTAGGTCAGGGTTCCAGTCAGCGCCGGGAGGTCGCACTGGCCTGACTCGTTTGCGCCGCAGGCCGCGGCAGTCCCGTCGCTCTTCAGCAACACGGTGTGAGTGCCGCCGGCAGCGACCTGCATATAGTTCAGACCTTCACCCGGCGCAGGGATGTCGCACTGCCCTGACCTGTTCGCGCCACAGGCCACGGCAGCCCCATCGCTTGTCAGGAGCACGGTGTGAAGGCCACCCGCGGCGATCTGCGTGTAAAACAAGCCGCCACTCGGCGCAGGGACGTCGCACTGCCTTGAGTCGTTGCAGCCGCAGGCTACTGCAGACCCGTCGCTCCTCAGCAGCACGGTGTGAGCGCCACCCGCAGCGACCTGCGTGCAGGTCAGGCTTCCGCTCACCGCCGGGAGGTCGCAGTGCCCATTGTCGAACAAGTCCGAGCCGCAGGCCACGGCAGTCCCGTTGCTCCTAAGCAGCACGGTGTGAGAGCCGCCGGCGGCGACCTGCGTGTAAGTGAGACCTTCACCCGGCGCAGGGATGTTGCACTGTCCAGAATCATTCGCGCCACAGGCCACGGCAGCCCCATCGCTCCGTAGCAGCACGGTGTGATGGCCACCCGCAGCGACCATGCTGCGGTGCAGGAAGCCGGAGCCTGCGGCCGCAGGCGCGGCCGAGCGTGGGCCGAGGAGGGGATGGCAAGGCGATCGCGCGAACGCTGAAGCCGATGCGGGTGCGGACTGGCAGAGCAGAAGGAAATGCAAGATGAGGGTTAGGTCGGGCATGTCCTCCTACAGTCGGGCTGCTGAAATAAGGAACGCTAAATAGGCAACGAAGCCCCTCTGCGGCTTCAAAAAAGCCTGGGTGCACGAGAAGAGCTAGAGGAACAACCGCGGACGGACGTAAGGAACATCGGGCCCTTTCCGAATCCAAACTGTTCCTTATTTCAGCGTCTTGGCTGTACTGGTACGGACTTGCAGAGTAGAAGGAAGTGCAAGATGAGGGGTAGGTCAGGCATATCCTCCTACAGGCAGACTTGGGGAGAAACAGAAACAGAGTCAAAACATACTCAAACATAGTCCAAAGATAGTCGAAACATCACCCCCAGACAACTTCTGACCATTTCTGTAAGATTCCTCCTGTACGAGGACACGCCCGACTTAGATGAGGGGGGAGAAGGTTCGGTGGCAACTCATGGGAGCCTCCCATACCTTTGTCGGCTCTTGCGAATCGACGCTGATCGACGCTAAATCAACGCCAATATGAGTATTGTTTAACCGATCCCCATCCCCAGCGGCGTAGCCTGGGCCCCACTGGCCGATTTACCCCCCTAGATGGGGATATAGGCCGTATCATTCGGGCTTCGAGGGGTGCATCCCCAACTGGGGGGGTAATCTGGCAGGGTTCTCGAAGGGGATGGGGATGGGGATAGGGGATTGGTTAAACGATACCGACAGGCGACGCCAACAGCAAGAACCGCTCCCTGAGATATGGAAAATGAACGGTCAAAGTGATGGAAATCGGTTCCTTTTCGAAATGTCGGGGAGACGTAAGACTCGGGTACGGGGGACTCGGGTTGGGTTGACGGGCGTCATCATAAAAATGACGAGACCCAATCTGAAATTTGACGCGGGCTCCTGCTGCAAACATCCCACGAAAACGGGACCGTCTAAATCCATGACGCACTCGTCAAAAAAAAATCGGCAAACCCGAGTTCCGGCTTACTCGAGTCTTACGTTTCCCCGAATGGAAGGCGGTTCCTTTTCGAAATGGGGCGGTCTATTGGGACTTCCACACCTATCGCAGCCCAACGCGTGCAGCCGCGCGGTGGCTGCGAGCACGGATGGCGGTCCCTCCTCGGCTTGCCAGGGGCCCCCGCCTCAGGCCACACCCCCAGAGTGCAGGAGCAGAGGCTCCCGCGTATGACCATACCCTCGGATATGAGAGTCGGAGTTCCAGGTAGGAGACCGATTTCCGACCACACCCACTTCCCGAGGTGCCTTGCGAAAAGCGGTTTCCAGAGGTGGAGGTGGGCAGTTTCCCCGCCCCAGGGGAAGGAAACACTACCCACTTCCACCCCCGAGGGCCTATCATAGAATCGAGGATCCAGAGGTGGATGTGGTCAGAAATCGGTCTTCGACCAGGGGGTGCCGGGCCCCCCGGCAAAACCAGGTGGGCTGCCGGCGACGATTTTGCGCGCCAACACGGCGATGTCGACCTGTACTGCTCGCCAGACGCTGGCAGTCAACCCGGTTTCACGCCTTCGATTCTGGCGCGGGGCTGAGTTCCATTGCATTTATTCGATGCCGAAATTCAAAACGGAAGGCACGACCCCCCCCCCCCTGCAAGACCGTGCAGCAGCTGCAGGGACGAAGAGGGCGGCTCCGCCTCGGCTTTGGACGCCCGAAATGGGTACGGAAACAATGGGTAGAATGCCCAACAACAAATGTTGTCCCAAACCAACAGAGGCCGCTGTTGGCCGCCTGCACACAGGCCGCGGCGGCGTGGACAGCGAGTCCTGTTCAAAATGAACAGGAACTGCTGTTGGGCATTGTACCCATTCGGGCGTTGGCAGAACTGGATTTAGTGGAACCTGGTTTAGTGACCTGTACCGGGGGCGCCCCCCCATCCCGTCTCCACGAACCGGAACTGCCGTCACCCGAAAAACACCGGTCACAGCAAACCTGGTTTAGTGAATCTGGCCAATTGAGGGGCCCCAGGGCCCTACCACTCACCGGGTCCCCTTGCCCGGGATCCTGGCCATACCCGAGCCATTCCTTCTTGGGCGCCCGAGTTATCCGGGGTAACTCGGGTCCGGGGTAATTCGGGTTTGGATTCCCGAAAAACCAACCCGAGTTAGCCCTGACCCGAATTATCCCTGATGATTTGGGGCTCTGGACGCCCGAGCTATCCGGGGTAAGTCGGGTCCGGGGTAAGTCGGGTTCGGATTCCCGAAAAACCAACCCGACTTAGCCCTGACCCGAATTACCCCTGATGATCCGGGGCTCTGACCTTCCGTACCCATCTCGTCCGTGCAGATCCGGAGCGGGGCGGTCCCCGGGACTGCCTCTGCGCCAACGCGGGGGGCGGCCCGGCGCACCGCGCCGTGCTCCCGCGGCCCCGGGCGGGCGGCGGCCCCGTCCCAAGGAACGGGGCTCGCGATGGGCACGGCGCAGAAAAACTGCATACAACATCGGGTGGCCCATTTTTCGGCACCCCTCTCACGAGGATCGTGGCCTCCGAGGGGGGGAGCCGCAATCGACTACCCCCCCTCCCGCCCCGAGAGGCCCCCCAAAAGCCCCCCAAGAGGCCCTGGGGGCCCCCAAGACGCCGCCAAGGAGCCCCAAGAGACTCCCAAGAGGTCCCCAAGAGGCCCCCAAGAAGCCCTAAAGAGGGCTCCAGGGCCGGCGGAATGAGCGAAGCGATTAAATAAACTCGGGTGAACAAAAAGGGGCTCCAGCTGAAAGGGGGTGATGCAACAAATTTTGGGGCAATTGTTTTGCGAATGGATTGCCCTGGAGGAGCGTTCTGCAGCGTACTGCAAGTGTGTTTTGCACGCGGAAGGGCGGCAATACGTGTGCGCCCCGAAACGCACTGCACGCCCCGAATGCACTGCAACCCCAAAAATCTATTGTGACCCAATCTGTTGCGCCACCCCCTTGTCGCTGGACCCCCTTTTGGGGTCAACCCGAAGAAAGCTCACTGCCCCAGGAGGATCTGTTGCACCACCCCCTCGTCGCTGGACCCCCTTTTGGGCCAACCCGAAAGCTCGCTGCCCCAGGAGGGAGGAGGGAGGGAGGGAGGAGGGCGGCGGAGTGCGTGCGGGAGGGAGGGAGGAGGGGGGAGAGGGGAGGGAGGGAGGGAGGGAGGGAGGGAGAGGAGGAGCAAGGAGGGAGGGAGGGAGGGAGGGAGAGGAGGGAGGAGGAGCAAGGAGGGAGGGCGGGAGGGCGGGCGGAGGGCGTGCTCGCAGGGCCGAACCTCTAAAATTACACAGGGGGGGGGGCTCCCTCGCCTGCACGGCAGGCCCGCGGGGCCAGAGGCCTCGCGCATCCTTTTCGAGGGCGTGCCCTTTGCCCCCCGGTGGGGCGGAGGAGGGGGGCACGCCTGCCGGGGGACCGCGGGGAGGGAGGGCCGCCTGGCGCCCTCGAGGGAGGGAGGGAGGGAGGGTCGCCTTGCGCCCTCGAGGGACGCGGGGAGGGAGGGAGGGACGCTGGGAGGGAGGGACGCGGGGACGCGGGGCGAGAGACCTCGCCCCTCGAGGGCGCGCCTTGCCCCCCGGTGGGGGGAAAGGGGCACGCCTGCCGGGGGGCCGCGGGGAGGGAGGGCCGCCTGGCGCCCTCGCCGATGCACTCTAGGCTCGCCCGGGTCCTCCTCGCCCTCTCCTCCGCCACGGCCCACGCCGACAGCTGGCCCTCCCCCGCGCACGGGCTCCCCCGCCCCCCTCCAGGACCCACGTCCCGGGGAGAGGCGGGAGGGGACGGACGCGACGGAGGTCAGCTTCCCATGCACGGGGAGCGCGGGGAAGTGCACCTGTCGGGGGCGGCCAAGGAGGGGGGCGTCCAAGAGGGCGGGGGCGCGCAAATCGTGGCCGGCGGCACGTGCGCGGCCCAGTGGGGGGGCCAGGGACGTATTGAAATAAGAAGAGGCGCCCTGGCATCTGGGGAGGTATCATGGCTCCCGCCATGATATCCACACCCCCCTAGCCATCACCGTCCTCTTTGCCGCCCCCGATCTTGTCAAAGTGAACTTCCCATGCGTGCGGAGTAATCTACAGTTGGAGCGTTGACCCAAGGAACCCTGAATAAGGAGCGAGGCCCCTTAGATCCACAAGTTGGACTTCGATTACCCATCGAAAACCAAAGCAACATCCAAGGCAAACTGTGAAGCAACCAAGGAACACGGAGCCCCTCCCCAACGAAAAGGGTTCCTTCCTCAGGGCCCCGACTGTATTCCTTCCCCCGCAGGGGAGGAGGCGTGCGCTTCCCTGCAGAGGCGGAGCCAGGGCCCCCGTCCGACCTTTGCGCCAGCTCAAGAAAACGTGTTGGCCTGCAGGTGGTGGACGGGCCACGAGGGGGGGGGGCTCTCCTCACTGCGGCCCTCGCCTCGAGAGCGGGGGGGTGTGAGATCCCACAGCGGCGAGGAGTCGAGTCAAAGCGGGGGCGGAGGAACGAGAAAGGTGCGGAGACATGGCACGGGACGCTCGAACGACGAGGATCACGAAACGTAGGAGGCGAGGTGAGGCGGACGAGGGGCGAGCACGAGGGAAGCGAGAACGCTGAGGCGAAGAGAGAAGGGGGGGATGCAGAGGTGGGTAAAAGGGGTGTTGAGGAGAGAGGAAGGAGACGGAGACTAGGGAGGACGGCAAGAACGAGGAGCAGGAGGACGAGTATGGGGAAGGACCAGAGGAGGGGCTTGACAGGGAGGGAGGGAGGGCTGAGGAGAAGGAGGGCAGCCGTGCACGGGGTGGGCAAAAGGACGAGGCCGAGGAAGAAAACGTTTACGCAGGAGGGAAGAGTCAGGTGGCGGCGAGCGAGGGGGTAAAAAGAGAAGGAGAAGGCCTTATCAGAAGGCGGCGTGACTTCTCAGAAGCCCTCGCGCCTTCTGAGAGGTTTGTTGTGTCTTGGGGAAGGCGTAGAAAACTGCTCAGCAAGCTTGGGGACTTCCGAGCCTTCTGAGACGGCCCGCCCCGTCTCAATTCCCCACCTCGCTCGCCGCCGAGTCAGAGCGGTGGCACCAGCAGCAAGAGGAAGAGGCCACGGAGGCGGACCACCGGAGGCAGGACGATGAGCCAGGATCAGGCAACTGAGGGCGGGGCTCAGGAGTGCCACCAC